GCAGGCGGGCCGGCGGCAGGAGGGGCCGCCCCGTCAGGGTTCTGCAGGGCGCTGATGTCAAAGGCCTCGGTGTCTTCTTCGCCGCCGCCCTCGTCGTCGTAGGTGATGATGTTCTCACGGACGTCCTCCTCCTCCAGCACCATGAGGGCTTCCTGCTTATGGCGCCGCAGGGCCACGAAGAGCACCACCAGCGCTGGGGAGAGGCCAGCAGGCGGCTGAGCTGGCCCTGCGGCCAGGGGGCGGCCTGGCTCGCTCTGCAGGGCACACAGGCTAGGTGCGTGTGTGGGGAGGGGATGTGGCGGGTGGCGGGCACACCCTCCTTCACCACCTGGCAAACCTCTCTGAATCTTGTTTCATCCCTTACTAGCTATATGACCACAGAAGGGGCTTACCCTCTCCCAGCCAACCTCCTTGCCCTTTGGATTACTTGTGTGGAAAATAGGGAAAACATTTGCCTCTTAGGGTTGCTGGCTGGGTGAAATGAAATACCACAGGCGATGGGACTAAGTCTCAAGGGGCTGACAGGTGGGGCTCAATGAGCGCTTTTTTTTTTTTTTAATGGCTGTGCCTGTCATTAGCTTGGCACACAGGCAGCGGGGGCATCTAGGCACAAGGGTGTCTTTGAGCACGAGGGTAGATTTCCTTATGCTCGGGGTCCTGGCTCCTCTTCATACCCTCAGCGGGCTTGACCCCACATCTGTGTCCCACTGTGATCTGACTCACCAAGCAGGGTGCCCACACAGGTGACAATGGCAAGCAGGGCCCCGGTGCTGAGCCCAGCGGGTGAGAGCTGAGCCTCTGGCCGGCAGGATGCCACGGAGCCGTCAGGCCGGCAGCGGCACACGCTGACAGTCACCGTGGCCGTGCTGCTCAGGGCCGGCTGCCCCCAGTCCCACAGCTCAATGGGAACCAGGTAGGGGGCCTGGCGAGGTGGAGCAGGGCGGGAGGGCAGCAGCAGGCTGGCAGAGCCATCTGTGGGAGAGGAAAGAGGTTGGGGCACCTCCCCGACACCTTCTCAGAGTATTGGTGGCTTCAAGCCTGGAGACAGCGCCCCACGAGGAAGGTTTGAAAAGAGCAAAGATTTGCAGCTCCATATACACCTTCTGTTGGGTACAGGCCCAGGAGGGGAGCAAGGGTCGGGTTGGGGGTGCTGGTGAAGGAGAGAAGGAGGGAGGCAGGCTTGGGCATGGTAGTAGAGACCACACACCTCGGTTGTCCCGCACAGTGAAGTTGGCATCGGGGCCCAGGGGGCCTTGAAGGGAGACTCGACTACTGTTGCCAACTTCATCTTTGTCCAGGGCCCGGATGACCTGAATCAGCTGGGAGGAAGAAGAAAGGCCTTGTATGGAATGGGCTGCTGGAGGCCTGGAGGTCCCAGCCCCTCTGGCTCAGTTGCTCACCTGGCCGGGGGCTGCAGAATCACACACAAAGGTGTCATAGGGCTCAGTCAGCTGGGGAGCATTGTCATTCTCATCCAGGGTCTGGATGGCCACTTGCACGCGGGAGGCCTGTGCAGAGCTGTCTGGAGCCAGAACATGAACACATACCCCCGCCCCAGGCACACACAACAGTTGTACACACAAACACAGGGTGCATGAATGGCGCATTGCATGCTCATGCAGCCCATGAAATATGCATGCAACATGCAATAGCAAACAAAGTTACGAAATAACAGGACAAAAGCAGCATTCAGGTAGCACCCAAGATATGTGCAATCAAAACACATTCAACAGGATGTAGTACCCAGGGTACATATATGTAATAGCTCGCATGCAAGGCGCACACATCGTAAGTGAAAGTTAGGTGCATAAGGATCATACACAGACAATAGCCATGAAATACACACATTCTCATATCACATATTTGATGGATATTCAGCAGTTAAAACAAATGTGACATACATGAAGAAGAGAATGCAGTATATACCCCCACCCCAGGGCCCAGAGAAAGCATTTTCATGCACAGCACCAGTAGGACGGACACACACACACACACACACACACAGGCCCTGTCAGAGGGATAGAAGGCTGTGGTGCAGCAATGAATATCACTTAGAGTTGACCTTGGGGAGGGAGCAGCTGTGTGATGTACTGCCTGGGCACCACAGCCAGCTATGGGGTCTCTCTTCACTCGCCACCCATCCCTTCATCAGGTGGCTCCCCCCCATTACCCTGCCCCACTCCTCACTGTCAATTCCACCTATAAGAGAATGGAAAATGTGTGCCCCTGTACACTAGGCTGGGCCTCCCACTGCATTTTGTTCCCCGAGGCAGGGTGAGGGTGAGGGTGAGATGCCCTGGAGAAGGGGCTGAGGTTGCAGCCTTGCAGAGGAGGCTGAGTGGACCGTCTAGCTAAAGGGTCTGGGGTACCACAGACAGGAAGGGACTGTTGGTTTTCAGCCCTTCACTGAGCAAAGGAGCAGGACCTTTAATACTGGGGTTGGGGCGGGGGACCAGGGCCCTTTGTAGGCAGGTGAGGAGACAGGGAAACACACACACACACACACACACACACACACACCACAGCTACATATACAGAGCTACAAACCCATACCACACACAAGAATAGATACACATGCACTGCCATGTACCATGTAGTGTGTGGGCACACACATAACCCACACCTACATAATCCCACCCAAAGAGGAGGGACGGTGAAGGCGAGGCAGCGTGGACTCCGCAGCCTGACTGGGCCTCATGGCCCTACCACCTCTGTCTGGGGGACCTGAGGCAGTCCCTTTACTTCTCTTCGCCTGAGTTTCATCATTTTCAAGTGGGGAAATAATCATCTCCCCCTCATAAATTTGTGGTGATGATTAAATGAACTCATTCAGAACTGGTAACTTAGAACAGAACCTCTTATACAATAAGTAATAAATTACTGTGGATCCACATACACGATACATACAAACAGCTATTTGTACCCATTCACATTCAAGCACACACACGTGCACCCACGCTGAAATATAATTCCACACAATCAATTATACACACACACATCCAGTTATAGGTATATCTTCAGATATATATCCATGTTTTTTTTTGTTCACTAGTGTGGAGTTCCACATACACGCAAGTACATACCCACGTATGCACACACATACACAGCTCTGTGCAAACACCTATGGCCACAACAACAACATTCTACATACAGGACACAGCCAGTGGAGAAGAGGAGAGGGCTCTCCCTGCTTCCATGGGCCAGTCTGTCCAGGGGCAGTGGAACAATACCACGGTGACAAGTGACTTTCAGGCAGAGCAGAGGGGCCTCTCTTCTCTCCTACCTAGAGGCTCGTGGGGGTTTGCCCTGGAGGGGGCTGCAGGGACCTTCCCACTCAGTCCCCAGAGAAGGTGCCTGGCCCTCAGCTCTATCTGGAGCAGACAGGGTAGGGCAAAGCTCCTTCAGGGTGCAGGTTGGGATCTGTTAGGGGTGGAAGCTTTTTTTTTTTTTTTTAGGAGTAGAAGATTTCTGAGGTTCATTTCCAGGCTGGAGAAAGTCAGAGGGCGCAATTTTAAGGTCAGCGGAATGCTCAGGCAGATCCACTGTGTCCAACTAAGTGCCGGGTAGTGAAGATCCCAGCTGGGAGCCAGTGGCTGTCCACCAGTGATGGTGGACTTAATGGTGCTAAGTGCCTTCCTAGCCCCGCCCAGGGACCACCTGAACCCCTCAGGGACAGCCCCTCTGTGGGAGGCTGCTGCAGCCTTCTCCGGGCTCCAGTGGGCTCAGGACTCCTCACCGAGCTCTGTGGCCAGCACTGTGAGGTTGTGCCAGACACGAGTCTCACGGTCCAGGGGCACCGCCGTGCGGATGGTGCCGTCCTCAGGCTCGATGGAGAAGCAGCGCTCTGGGTCCGAGTGGGGTAGGATGGAGTATCTGGGGCAGATGGAGCAGAGCTGGGAGCTGGTCTGGGGGCAGAGTCAGAGCTGGCCACCGCCCCCCACACCCTCTTCCACTGCCTTGCTGGGTCTCAGGCTCATCTGGGCAAAGCCTGCCTCTTGCACCCAGAGCCATAATTCATGTTAGGGGCCCCTTAAGAGACAACTATCCTAGGAAGTCACCAACACTGAACACCTGTCCTAAGGCTCAGGGGATGAATTTCATTGAATAAGGTGGGGAGAGGAAGAGATCTGGAAGAGGCAGATGGGTGTCTGTCTTTCAGACTTCTGGGCTCCGTTCTGGGACCCAGTGACCTGGGACCGAGCTCCACTCTGCCTTAGACCAGCTATATGACCTTGGGTAAATCATTTTAACTTCTGATTACCCAACTACAAAACGGGCATGACACCAGCACGACCCTCACAGAGCAGGGACAGGCCAGCCAGGTGGGCAGGCAGGAAGCGAGGATTTGAATCCCAGCTTTGCCACTTACGGTGTGACGTTGGGCAAGTTAGCCTCTCAGGGCCTAGCTTCTAAAACAACTGGCAGTGATCCTGCCAGCTTCACGGGGCTGTTGTGAGAATTAAATGTTTTCAAGTGGGTAAAATGTGGAAGAGCTTAGGGAGTGATCAATAGTGAATGCGATCAACTGCACTCAGCTGACGAGATTACATCTGCTCGCCTGGCCACTGGGAGGTGCCATCAGTACCCACCCAGAGGGACGCGACAGGAGAGGAGTCTGGGAGGAGTGACCCGCCAGCCTGGGAGAAAGAGTTCTGCCAGGAGGTAAGGCAATTTGTGGTAAAGGGGGGGCATATCCTCAAGTGGGACTGGCCTGCCGCGGCCTTCTCCAAGGCCCAGCCCTGCCCTCACCCACACCCTGGCTCACCTAATTGGACTGGCCGGGGAGTCCAGGTCAGCAGCTGAGACCTGGCCCACCAGGGTCCCAGGGGCCTTGTTCTCGGGCACTGCCAGGTGGTAGGCAGCCTGAGTGAAGGCAGGTGGCTCGGGGGCATCCTGCACAGCCACACGCACCGAGGCCACGTCCTTGAAGGGCCCTCGCCGCAGGTATGCCGGGTCGATGAGTGTGTTGGTGGCCTCCACACGGAAGGAGTAGGAACGACGGGTCTCGAAGTCTAGGGGCTGTGGTGAGGGGAGATGGAGTGACTGAGGCATGTGGAAACCAGGGCAGGCTCAGGCTTAGGAAGATGGAGTCTCATCCCCACAGACACCCAGTGCTCAGCCCCCGAGGGGAGACACCTGAGGTCAGGGAGGCGGCAGATCACTTAGTTGGTAACTGTAGGTCTGCCCCGCTGTCACAGACTTGCCAAATGATGAGTCTCAAGCCTGTCACCACCCCCTTTCTGGGCCCCACACCTTCATATGAAAGATGAGATGACCGTGACCTCTAAGATCTAACACAGGGGGTCCTGAGTCTGCGACTAGGAGATCGGTCAGAAATGCGCCGCACAGGGCCCGGGGCAGGTACGAGGGAGTCTGCAGCTGGAGGCTAACCTTGCGGACAGTGAGGAGCCCGTCACGGCCCTGGGAGTCTGTGTTGATGCTGAAGGTCTCGGAGCCCTCCCCGTCAAGGATGCTGTAGGCCATGAGGGCGTTGTCCCCCAGGTCCGGGTCCTGAGCCCGAAGTCGGCCCACCAGGGTGCCCGGCCCAGCCGTCTCCACCACGGAGAACTGATACAGGCCTTGGGGGTGGATGAAGGGAGACATTCTTAGCGAGGTCCACAGTGCTCCCCCCTACCCCAGTGCTTCCTTCTCCCGGGGTCAGGCTGGGGGAGGTGCAGGGAGGGAAGGCTTCTCCAGAGACTGTCAGGGTGGGGCGACCAAAGGATAGCTCAGACGGCAGCACCAGCCCCTTACTCTGAGGAAACTTGGGGGGGTTGTCATTGACATCGCTGAGGGTGACGGTCACTGTCGTGCTGCCCGACAGCCCCCCCATGTGGCCGCCCATGTCCTTGGCCTGAATCACCACCAAGAACTCCTCCTGAGTCTCCCGGTCCATGTTGGGGATGGCAGTTCGCACCACTCCTAGGGAGAGACACCATGTCAGTCAGGGGTGTCTGTTCCCATGGCTGTCCCACCAGACATCTGAGCTCCATCCTCACCAGTCTGGGGGTCCACAGAAAAGAAAGGCAGTCCGTCCAGCACAGTGTACACCAGCTTGGCGCTATTTCCATAGCTGGGGTCATCGGCGTCGTGAGCAGTCACCTGGATCACTGATGTCCCTGGGGGCGGGGGGAATCCCAGCACCCCCATCAGCAGGGTAGGGCCAGGTGGGGAAGAACAGCAGATGAAGGGTTCCCACACATGAACAGGGCTGAAGAGAAGAGGTGGGCTCTGGGGCAGAAAGCAATGGGGGAAGGAGAGGTGAGGACACTCCAGGAGATGGCATGTGGGACATTCAGAGCTGGAGTACTCACCGACATTGGACATCTCGGGCACTGTGGCATGGTAGGGCCCCAGGGGAAAGATGGGTGGGTTGTCATTGATGTCTTGCACTTTGATGATAAATTCTGATGGGGGCTCCAGGGGACGGTTGGAGGCTCGGTCTACAGCTTGGGCCAGTAGCACATACTGTGCCTTCTCCTCCCGATCCAGGCTCTTGGTGACATGGATATTGCCTGTGGCTTCGTCAATCACAAATACGGTGCCTGCCCCCTCCCCGGTCAGCAGGTATTTGGTGCGCCCCTCACCCCGGTCCACGTCCGAGTGCAGCTGTAGGGGCCAAGGGAAAATGGCAGAGGGTTCCAAGCACAGAGACAGAAGGTTACACATCTAAGTCTAGGGTCAGGCGGAGTACTGGGCGTCCTGCGGGACCAGGGTCACTGCCGAAGAAGTGAAGTCGCAGGGCGGGCAACTAGGGCCTGGAGAGTCAGGGAAGCATGGGAGAGCTTGAGTTACCTTGCCAATCAGGACAGGTTCTGGGCCGGCATATTCCTCAATGACGAAGAACTGGTTCCACACCCAGCTCCTCCGGGTCCGCAGCAGTGCAGGTCCTGGGGTCCCTCGGGATCCTGCCCAGGCCCGGACTGGGGCTGCCAGGCGCCCCATGCAGCCCCAGCCACCCAGCCAGGCCAAGAGGAGCCTCACCAGGCCCCACATGTTTGGGTTCCGGCCAGGGACCTGTTCACTGCCCCCGGGTGCTGAGGCATGAGATGGCTGGGGCAGAAGGGCAGAGGCATCCGGGCTACCCCAAGGAATCCATGCCTGTAGGACAGGTAGTTGTTCAGGCTCCAGGAAGCCCTTAATCTTCCTCGCTCCACCAAAGTTAGATGTTAAAGAACAGGCCTCCAAGAAAACAGACACCCGTTGCCCGAAACCCAGACTAAGATAGGGAGAAGACAGTCTGAGCCTTCCCTCTCCCCAGCTCTGCTGTATTCACCTCCAGTCCTCCAGGCTGATAAATCTCCGGCCAGTCCTCTGAGAAGCTGGGGGAGAAAACAGGAGGATGCTGGGAGGGTTTAGAACCCCATATCTGGCCCCCATCTTTCCAGGCTGGTTTGCTGGGAGGGGCTGGAGGAGGAGGCACTACCAGGGAAAGGGCTTAACACCCAGTAGGTGAGGTTCACGGAGGTGTGGCCTCATGGTACCCAGGGTCAGGCTGAGATATGACAGGGAGAGCAGTCTTTGACAAGGTGGATAGCCTGAGAAGTTCCTCCACTGGGGAGCCCCACCTCTCCTGAGCCTGACCCCAGTCCACTCTGCCAGCCAAAGTCCTTGAAGTGGGACTGGCACTGCAGGAAGAGGGGATAGAGTGGGGGCAGGGCCAGGAGACCAGAGAAAGCTGGCAGAGGTAGACCCAGAGGCTGGAGCCAGCATGATTGAGGTGAGCCCAAGACTCAGGGACGGTCCGACAGAGACAGAGGAGCAGCAAGAGACAGAACGAAAGAGATGAAAGGAGGCAGCCTGGGTGTCTGAAAGGCAGAGAGGAGTCAGAGGCGCCAGGCTTGGGGACCGGTGGGAGGGGCAGAGGGGCTCTCAGGTTGGGTGATAGGCAGGCAGGGGCAGCCCTCAGCTGCGGGAGCCATCAGGCTACTGCAACTTCATTCTGGGGGAAGCAGCAGCCAGGAGGGGTTGCGGGCAGGGAGCTAGAGAGGACCCTTCCCACTGCCATCAGCCCCTTCTCTTAGGGGGGGACCCCCTCAGGTGGCTGTGGCTGCTGCCCCTCCTCTCTCTCAGAGCAGACACCTGACAGCCCTTTCCCTCCCGAGGGAAGCCAAGGACCAGCGAGGGAGGCGGGACGAAAAAGGAAAGGGAGAGAGGAGTGGAAAACAGGATAGCGGAGGGGAAGCGAAGAGGAGAGGGACGAACAGGGGCAGGAAAGGAGAGCGGGAAAAGGGAGAGACAGCAAAGGAAAGAAAGGTAGAGGGAGAGAAAGGCCAAGAGGAGGTGGAGAAAGAGCAAGGGGGAGAAGGGAGAGCTGGGGAGATAGAGGGAAGGGACAGAGGAGGCAAACGGGAGAAGGCAGGGTGAAAGAAATCGAACGAGAGGAAAACGGGCAAAAGAGGGAGAGGTGTGAGGGAAGAAGGGCAAGAGGCAGAGCGCGGGAGAAGGGAGCCGGCAGTGGGCTCCCAGTCGCGGAGCGCACCGCTCTGAAGACACCCGCAGGCTGCGGGGCCCCCCGCTGCCCCTCCACGCATTGCCGCCGCCGGGGTTCCCGGGCGGAAGCCCTTACCTGGATGTGCCGAGGGGCCCAGCAAGGCGCGGAGCGCCCCCGCCAGCCCCTGTCACCGAGTCCCGGGGCGCAGCCCCGAGCCGATCGGAGCGGGCGCCGCGGCTCCGCTGCAGGTCTGAGCGGCCCCGGCGAGAACAAGGGAGCGAGACGGAGGGGGCGGGGGAAGGAGGCTCCGCCTGCGGAGGAACGAGGCGGCTCCGCGCCGCGCGGGAGA